GTGGTGTGCTGGGGGAGCAGCACAGCAAAGAGGGACTCATCCAGGCTGGAGAAACTGATCAGGAAGGCTAGCTCTGTGGTCGGCATGAAGCTGGACACTCTGGTGACAGTGGCAGAGAAAAGGACATTAAAGAAACTGATGGACATTATGAACAATGCTGGGCATCCTCTGCACACGGCCATAAACAATCAGAAGAGTCTGTTCAGTGACAGGTTGCTTCTCCCCAAGACAAGAACTAACAGACTTAAAAACTCCTTTGTCCCACACGCCATCAGACTGTTTAACTCCTCTCTGGAGGGGAGAGGGAGGGGAAACAGGAGGACAAAGGAGGGAACAACTAAGCTGTAGTGCCTCTTCACCTCACTGTACAATACCTTGTGCAATACTTTTTGTAAATAGTCAACAGTGCAATAGACTCAATACTTGAAATGTGCAATTCACTTGTATTTTTATTTTTTATTCCTATTTATTCTATTTATCCCCTTTGTATATTTTATTTATATTTGTCTCTGTATTTATATATGTGTGTGTGTGTGTGTATGTGTGTATATATATATATGTGTATATGTGTGTATATATATATATGTGTATATGTGTATATATATATATGTGTATATGTGTATATATATATATGTGTATATGTGTATATATATATATGTATATGTGTATATGTGTATATATATATGTGTATATGTGTATATATGTGTATATATATATATATATGTATATGTGTGTGTGTGTATATATGTGTGTGTGTATATATAACATATAACAATTCTGTAACTGTAACTTCGGTCATTGCTGTGCTTTTTGGAAGTCGAATTTCCCAGAGGAACCCACCCGAGGGATTAATAAAGTTCTATCTTATCTCTTATCTTATCGTATCTTATGATTTATGGATTTTAAGATGCACACTGTAGACAGAATTCAGATTTACTTGGGGTGAACCTTTTGGTAAGATATTTTATTAAAGAGTCAATATTCTCTCTTATGACTTTTTGACTTTAATTTTGTTTTGTTTTTTTCTGATCTAGCGTTTGTATTTGGAGTCTGTGTTTTCAGAGCTGCAAACACTGGAATAAGAACACGTGTACCCTTTCAGCCCTGCACGTTCTGAGTCAGAATTCTTTCTGTTCCTTTTGTTTCATTGTCTCAAACAAACTTGTTAAAAGCTTTCAGACGCTACTTTTATGTACACCTCAGTAATGAGGCAGCTAGAATCCCTGCTCAAAAGCGTGTTTGAAGTTATGATGTTGCCAAATTTTACCAAACAATCTGTATCTTAGCTTCATTTTACCAACCAAAAGTCCAAAAGCTTTTGACAGCAAAGCATTAGCCGATCTCTCCTGATTAATTGATAGAATCTGTCCACCATCAGACATTTCATGTTCAACACTTGCCTTTGGCTCAAACAGCAAATCAGCCTTTCATCATCACGATGGCACCTCAAAAGTCCAATGCTGTCTTATGTGTTTGGATCCAAAGCAGAGAGGAGAGACTTTGGAGTGAGTTAGCTCCAAAAGTCTACAATATCTGCCTCGCCGCACCAGGCAAACACTTTTTGCAGCAGTTCCTTAAAATGTAAGAAAAATGAAGGAAGCAGGCAATTATTTATGACACTGCCACTTGGCCAAAGCTGGAGTCTGACTGTACCATCTGCTGCATTAGAATTCAAGCGTCATCAGACCCGGCTAAGTTTTTCCAAATTGTAGGCTCAGTTTCCTGTTCTTAGTTGACTGGGAATGAGATTCAATTCAATTCAATTTTATTTATATAGCGCCAAATCACAACATAAGTCGCCTCAAGGCGCTTCATAGATACAGAGAAAAACCCAACAATCATATGACCCCCTATGAGCAAGCACTTTGGCAACAGTGGGAAGGAAAAACTCCCTTTTAACAGGAAGAAACCTCCGGCAGAACCAGGCTCAGGGAGGGGCGGCCATCTGCTGCGACCGGTTGGGGTGAGAGAAGGAAGACAGGATAAAGACATGCTGTGGAAGAGAGACAGAGGTTAATAACAGATATGATTCAATGCAGAGAGGTCTATTAATACATAGTGGTCTTCTGCTGCTGGAGCCCATCTACATGAAAGCACAGAGATGCTCTTCTGCATATATTGGTTGTAATGCGTTGCTATTTGAGTTATTGAGCGTTCCCACCATCTTGAAGCAATCTGGTCTTGTTGAACTTTAACGGGCCGTCTTGACCATACCCACTCGGTTAAATGCACTGAGTTGCTGCCCTGTGATTGGTTGGTTGGTTAGATATTTGCATGAGCGAGCAGTTTTTGTACATAACAAAGTGGCTTTATCACTGGTCTAGTAAAAAAGTTGTTAGTAAGCCTTGAAGTTCTTTATTCTTTTTAGCTTTAGACAGACAAAGTTATCAAAACAGTAATTACACAAGTTAGAAGCTGACTTTTAAGGACACTTGAACATTAGGCAGCTACGCAGTCAAGTGTTTTCCTGCTAACATGTAGGAGTCAAACAAACAATAAAGACAGGACTTAATCATTATTGAACTCTCCCAGCTTTTTTCTTTTCAACGTGCTGCTGTCATCCAATTCAAAATGCAATTATATTTAATAAAATCCTGAATTATTTTAATTTGAATGAATATTTCAATTTAAATCTTTTTTTTTTTTTTTTTTTTTTTTTTTTTTTTTTTTAAATGACATCAGAAACAGCAGTATGCGACATTACGTGATGGCAGAGCTTCAGTTCATCCTTTGTCATTTTTTTTTTTTTTTTTTTTTTTTTTTTTTAATAAATAGGACAGGGGGAATGAATGAGAGAGAGGGGGAGAGAAAGAAAGAAAACCAAAGGGGAGAAGAGACGGTGAGAAGGGGGGGAAGAGAGACAAAAAAAAAAAAAAAAAAACTCCTGGGTCACCTGTATGGAGAAAAAACAAACAAACAAACAAACAGAGGAGACAGCAAACAACAAAGAGTAACATAATAATAGAGAAAACAAAGCACCATCACAATAAACTAGCTAGTCATAGATATCAGTATTTACTAAGTAATAAACGATATTGTGCAGCACGCAAGATAGACAGCGCACAGTGTGCTTTGAGGCAGCAGCCAAGAAAGCTTTAGTCCGCGTCTGTGAATACCCATGTGTGCATACCTGTGTGGATCAGCATGCTTGCATTCCAAAGGTTTCTCCATGTAATGATCTGCTAGGGAGTGTGGGGGGGCCACAGCCCCGTCCTCCAGGGTGTGAAGCGGGTATGGAGGAGATCAAAACTCCAGACATCCAGAGGACCCCAGAACACAAGAGACCATGGAAGACCAACAGAGGGGCAGCCGCGCCACTGTTCCAGTAAGAGCTGAGGAGAGTCCCAGATGAGGGCTCACTCAGCAGCCGCGGAGCAGAAGCCAGGGGGGTTGCAGTGACGCGCCCGTGAGCTCCGCCGGCCCCCAGCTGCGCCTGAGTGACCGAGCCCTAGGCCGAGAGGCCGGGGGCACCCCACCTCCAAAGGGGCCCGAGCGAGCCCCAGGCCCCGACAAGCGGCCGCCAAGGAGTGAGCCGGTGTGTACCCGGACGCCCACCCCCAGACACAAAGAACCACCAACACACCGACACCTGAGGGAGTCCGCCACCGGCAGGGGAAGTGGTGGTGGGTGGAGATAGGCCTCCAAACCTTGGAGGGCCTGAGGTGTCCCCAGAGAGGTGGCGTCTGATACCCAACCTGACATATAGACACAGACATACAGGCACACACAGACACAAACATCCATTCCCACCCTCATGCTCTCATATGCACTCACTCCACACTCAACCAACGTGGAGACAGACATAAAGAGACGCTGTACACACAATCACACTCCCCAAGCGTACTCTACAAACCGGGTCTAGGTACCCTTGCCCCTGGAGGGGGGAATTGCACCCAGACCCAGGTGGTGTTACCCTTTTCCCTGCGGTGGGGAGAGGCAGACCACCCCGACTCCGCAGCAGCAGGGAGGCCCCACACCCCAGACCGCAGTCGGACGGCCAACTCCTCCTACTAGCCCCCCCGCTCCAGCAGGCCGCAGAGAATGAAGTTGTGCATGTGAACGGGGATTTTGCTGTTGATTATTGCTGCTGTTCTTTGTCTGCTGGATGAAGCATGCTGAGGTTAGGTCTCTTAACAGCTAATCTTACTCGTTATACAAAGAACCACCATGAACCAGCCAACTACACAGCTGAGGTTACAGCAACAAATTAATAAAGTTGATGAAAACAAACCTCGAAGCCATACTTCATCCGCACGTCTCTTCGCCAACATTTTCCCAGCGCATTTTTAACTTGTTATATTGTCTCCAAGAGACCAAGTAATTAAACAGTCCACATTTAAAGCTTCAATAACTGATGCTTTTGATCAGCTTGGGTCAGTGCAACATCTTATAACCCCATTGCAATACCAGTTTATGCATCTAGCATAGAGCAATGCTGCTAGTTGGGTTCTAGGACACTGCGTTGCTTCTGTTTTGGTCTGTACCACATCCTGCAGCGAAATACTCCAATAACACACTATTTTATGCCATTTTATTGCAGGCCAGAAAGAGCATAGCAGGTTTATTATTGCTTTTACAGAAGTAATGACTAAAGTGGAGTTGATAAGAGTGTTGAGAGTGAACCGAAATATTAAAGATATGGCCAATAAAAGCCAAAACAGGGAGTTATCTACATTTACTCAATAAAGCACCTAAATAAACTAACCAATTACTTTGACTGCTTTATAATCAAACCCTGCGTTTAGATGTTTTTTGTGGGAATAATTCAAGGACATTAAACAAATAGCGTCCTGCTCAGGTAATAAAGTGTCTGGTCTTCAGCAGAAGTCCCCATTAGCTAGCTTTTTGGGTCATTAAACTAATGACTATATTAACATTTGTTTACCTGGCCCCCGCCCTGCTCTGTTACTCACTGCGAAGCACGCTACCAGCCTAAGGAGATTCATTTTCACCAACTTGCACATGCTTATTGTTCATTTGCTCTTTGCTCCCCCCTGTAGGACAATCCGGGAGCACCTGGGAGAGCAGGAGGTTTCGATCTCTCTGACCATCGAGTCTCTGGAGGAGGCCGACCTGGGCAACTACTCCTGCTACGTGGAGAATGGCAACGGGCGGCGACAGGCCAACGTCCAACTCGTCAAGAAAGGTGAGCCAAGCTCACAGATTCACGTGCAAGCTGGAAAAAGACAAATCGGTATTTAAATCAGGAAGTGCATTTCAACATAAATCTAGCAGATGAATAGAGTAGCCTTTATATTTAATAATAGGATGTTACAGCTTTCCAGGACAAAAGCACCATTTAATACCACAGGCCTCCACTCTGACAGTGGAGAGAATCTCCTGCAGCAGTTCACCAAGTAATAAGAAGAACTACTGGCGGGATCCTGGGAGTTGACCAGTTGTTTCCTGCCTCGGGCGGGGAAAGAAAATAGGACAGTTTGGTGGATAGTGCATAAAGCCTATTCATCCACCTCAGCCTGAGGAAGCATTAGTTTGCGTGGGGGAGAGAGAGAAAGAGAAATTACTTACTGAGAGAGGCAGCCTTCGGTGTTGTGATGCCAGACAAGCTGTTTGAGTGTCTGGCAGTGACCTCTCCCAACACACAAATCCTCCTTTGATCGCTGAACTCTCACTCATTTTCTCATCTTTCATCACTGGCGACTGTCTCCTCCGCCCCTTCCCCACTTCCAGGGTTTTTATCCAAGCAAACTTTTTTTAAAATTTCCCTATGATTTCGCCTCACTGAGGATCGACTGTTTGAAAGTTGATTCCATGATGATTTTTTTAGAGAGATGCACATCTTCAGTGTGGTTATGTAAGTCTTTTTTTTTTTCATATTTTTTTATTAGGCAAGGCCAGAGGAAGCGAGGGGGGGAGGTGTCTTTGCATCCTTAAAGTTGTCAGCATTGAATACATTAACATAGTAAGATATTTCTCTTCTCTTTTAAGCCTACTGCTTTGGATCCAGCTTTGATGCCAGCCCAGTTCCCCTCCATTTGCTATATTAAAGGGGCTTATGCTGCAAAGTCGAATCTCAGAATAAACAGGGGAAGATTAGCCCTGTCCTCTCACAGGATAGCGAGACCACGTGAAATTGACTCAATTCAGTGTTGTTTGGGGTTTTGTGCTGCGTCCGTAGAGCGCAGGTTCCATGCAGGACTAGTTAGTGTTAACACTGCTTTTCTAAAATGTGTCTCCTCACTTGTGTCGTGGAGCTGAAAACAGCACTCGGAATGACTTTACTCTTTCCCCTCGTTGTAGATAATCATGGCGTATCAGTCAGAATATGCATAGCATGAAGTCTTAGCATCCTTTTTTCCACTTCTTCTTCTTGCTATCGAGAAGTTGGAATTCTCCCAGCATTAACAACACCAGCAGCACTGACAGTAAATTGCTCCCAGCACTGGAAGTTCAGCGTAGATTCTCCATTTGTGAACGCGAAGAGCAGCAGGTTCAGGTTTCCAAATTTTATTTTACTACTTAATGAGTGCTTCGCCTTTTCATCATCCCTCTTTTCATCCACATCCCTAGACGATGAGAGATGCAGAAATGGGGGCAAGAGAACGAGATGATGAATTGCCCGATGCCATGTGGCTCCATCAAATCCAGCCTTCTAGTCGTCAGGAGCTAATTTGTCTTAATCTGTCCCTCTGCAGCGCTGCTACAATATGGATGCCAGGCAGAGAAGAATTGGCCTCCTCTGCTGTAATCTCTGCTGCTTGAGAAGCAGCTGGCTCGTTATTCTGTCCAGATATCTGAGCGGAGAAGCGGTGAGCGCTACGGCAGGACGGCAGAGTGAGAGGGTGGCGGGGGAAAGGACGGTAAAGAAGAAGCGAGGGATCCGGGTTCTCGTGGTGCTTGTTAGCTGAGGCACCTCTCTCAGAGAAAACTAAGTCGGGATGATACTTGGTGGCCAAAGTGACAGAAACTGAGGCAAAGCGAGAAAGTCTGAGGCTCAGTGGGGTAAAGCTGTGTTTATGCTTCCCTACGTTTGTTTTGAGTATTTTTTTTTTCCCGTTCGCGCATATGTTCGTCCGTGAGTTTGGCTGAAGGTCGACGCGGGACAGGCGTGATGAAGCGGCACGCGCCGTGCTCGTTAGCTCTCCAGAACATCATCCTTCATCACGCGAGCTGTCAGCCTGATGGCCGCTGCAGTGGGACGGACATCGCGCAGTCCAGCGGGGTTAAACGTGCGTCCGTGATGGATGGTGATGCACACGAGGCCTCTCTGTCCGTGTTTATGTGTATGCGCAGCTTTGCAGTCAGTCCAGGTTTTTTACTGTTGTCCATTAGTCAGCCAATGAAGGGTGACCACCCAGATTTTGTGAGGCGTAGCCAAAAAGGAAACCGCAAAAGATGGACAGAAAACACTGTAACAAAGAAAAAGCCTTGAAAATGAGACAAGAGCACGAAAAGACAAAGCAAACGACCTGAATTTCAAGGCAACTTACTAGACCATGCAGCCTAATGGTTGAGTCCATTGTCCAGTAGTGTGACATATCACCTTCAATTTGCCCGAGGCAAACTCTGACTGAATAATGTCATTGTATGGACCTTTTTTAAGATACCATGAGTAGATAAACACTCTGTGCAATAGTTTTAAGGCTCATTTATTTACCCCCAAGGAGCCAGACTTCAGCAGTAGTTCTCCAGGCTTTCAGAAGCTCTTTCATTGTTTTTCTTTGAACATTAGCTGCTTTTTTCTTTGTAGTGCAGTCCTTGTACCTGACCATTTTTAGTTAGCTGAGCCACTTAGCACTGACATATAAGTCAAGGGATGAGCCGTGTTGTCTACACATGACAGACAATTTGCAAAGATCCAATTTTAAATAGTGTTTTTTATTTGTACTGGCATAAAATTGCATTTTTGGACCAACAGAGTGATTCCGAAAGAGTTATTTGTAGAAAACGTGCCATATCTCAACATGGTGTGCAGTGTGTCCTTAAAAAGTTTGAGGAAATTTGACAAGTAGAGGATAAAAGTGGCAGGCCTTAAAAACTACCTACAGCAAATACACAATGTCTGAGTCAAGTCAGGTTCTTAAGAAACAGGACAAAAAATCCAGTAAAGACCTGACACAGGACATGAGAGATGTATCTGACCCTTTAGTTGAGTCAAGTTTGCTGAAGCCTCAAAAATGGAAGTGTGGCTGTGAAGAAGGCATTTTTATGGAACGGAAACAGTGAAAAAGACTGAGGTATGCCATATTGCACAAGAACTGGACTGAAACAAGTGGAAACAAGTCTGATGAAGTGATGAAATGAAAAGTCTATGAGGAGGTACAACAGCGAGTGTCCATAGTCATCTGTGAAACACAGTGGAGGCTATGTCATGGTTTGAGGAGCACTTTAAACAGTGGTGTTGGAGATTCTATAAAAACTGATGGAGTCTGATTTTGGTTCACCATGAAATACCATCTGGAAATCATCCGATTGGTAACATCTTCATTTTTCAGCATGACCATAATACCAATTATGGATTGGCCTCCCCAGAGCTCGAACCTCAACATTACTGAAGCAGTGTGGGATCATCTTGTCAGAGAACAGAAGAAAAGGCAGCCAACATCCAAAGAAGAGCCCTGAATGTCCTTTAACAAGCCTGGGGAACTATTCCTGAAGATTAACTAAAGAAATGACGAGAAAGCTGCCTATGAATGTTCAGGCTGTGATAAAGAATAAACAGGTCATACCAAATATTCACTTTCAAGCTTGTTAGAATTGTATAACAAGTGTTTTTGCCTGTGTTTCCATGCATGTTCATTCACATCACAGTAAATCACTGCACATATTTCTCATTTTCTTGGCAAAATATGAAGAAATGAGGCGTGACTCAAGACTTTTGCACATCACTGTAAAACTGAATTATCACCAGTGAAGTTCCTAGAATTTAGCGTCCGCTGATCCTTCATGTTTTCATGAGATAATGGCGGGCTGCAGTGATGACAGATGGCAGGAAGCGCAGGCTGCTTCGATCTGTTTGTGTGCCGGGCAGTTCAGCTAACAGCCAGGAGCTTCACCTCTCAGCAGCCGCTCTCATGTAACTGATCTTCATAAGCGCGGTGCTCAGATCTGTCACATGCTATTGTTGCACTAGTTGCCTCAGTGTGAGTTTTCTTTTTTTTTATTATTGTTATCCAGTCAAGCCAGGAGGCGTTTAATGACAGGTATAGAACTGGCTGTACTTTCATTCCGCTTTGAGTTATGTGTCATCTGGATCCGGTCCAGCCACAATAAGCGACACGCAAAAGATGGAGAGGAAAAGCGAGAAAAAGTGACACAAACACACGCTGAATGAATGCAGCCACGGGAGACTCATAAAGCCTTTTTTGCAAACAAATGTGGAGGTGCAACAAAGCCATTTCATTAATAATAAATAGCTTTTTTTTAACCATCGTGACCGCGTCACGCATTACTTCTTGATTGATTATTTACTGCTGTTCCGTTACTGGATACAAACCTGCTCCAGTGCACCACAGTGTAATAGAAAAGAAATACAAGGGAATTAGAAAAGCAAAGGACTAAGAATTTGTGATAAAATAAAGGTAGTCTTGCAGAGTCAAATGTCTGCAGTAAAAAAGATTTTTTTTTTGTTTTTTTTAAGGGAAACAAAACCTCGAAATGACTATTGTGATTACAAAATCCTCAAATCTTAAAACCCTGTTTAACTTTTTTCTGAAAATTTCAAAAAGCTTGAAATCAGCCACAGATTATAAAAGGAGGAGGATGGTTAATTGATGGTTGGAAACAAGTCGGTCTAAGCAGTCGCTTTCTGGAGAAATAAGGGAAATTGATTGCACCGTGGATCAATTTGCAAAGGAGGGAAGGCATGAAAAATGCTAATGAGAAGCACCCATGTTATCCACATTTACTGGAAATCAGAGAAATTTTTCAGCTTGCAGGGTGTGATTTTTGGCACTTTTTGGAAGACTGGATATCCTGCTTGTTTTTTCCTCTCACTCCTCTCTGTTTTTTACCCCCCATCCCTACTCCACCCTATGTTTTGGCTTACTAGCGGAGCTGATGTACACTGTGGAGCTTGCCGGAGGTCTGGGAGCCATCCTGATGCTGCTCATCTGCCTCGTGACGCTGTACAAGTGCTACCGGATCGAGCTCATGCTCTTCTACAGGAACCACTTCGGCAGCGAGGATATAGATGGAGGTAAGATGTTGTTATTCATTTTAATAATATTTGGCGACGAGTCCTTTCCCTCAGTGTGAATCAAATCTCCAGACCTGAACCGATATCACCTAAGAAAACACCGGAGCCATTTTTCATATCTTAAAGCTGCACGTGGCACAGTTTTATGTAAATGTATGCATCTTTTCTAAGTATAAATAACACAGAGAGGAGCAAACGATAGTTTCTCATTCACAAATCTTTTCAATCCATATGCAGTAGACTGTCCCCGAAACAGCATCACCATCCTTGATGTGGCTCCTTTTCTTGTCGTCTTTGTTAACAAAAAAAAAAGGTTCACGCTGAGAGTGCTGTTTCCTTATATAACAAAGCACAACCTCTGGGTAACGGAGACTGGATTGTTCAAACAGTTTTCACTGGTTGCGTTTCAGAGCCTCCAACAGGCAAAGCTGCACAGTTTAGCTTTAAAGGGGACAGTGCGGCCTTGATCACTTAAGCGCTGTGAGCGCGGCGGCAGCAGCTGCTGCTGATGTGCTTTCTATTTTAGGGGACATTTAGTCACTGTGTGTATTTTTTTCCCATTATTATTCTGTTGCAGATGGGGTAACTAACACCCACTCACCCAGTAATGTGAACGCTTGTAGTTCACATATGCTGCTTTCACCATGTTACCCAACGTGTCACTGTCACTTTATTCAGAGCTGCTTATCTTGTAAACTTTTTTTTTGGTTATACTGAAGCAGCTGCTGTTTTGTGGGATTATACGGCATCGATCTATTCACAGTTCTCAACGGCTCACAAGAGTAAAATATAGAACAATAACCACTTTGTCACGAGGAATAAACAGCAGTTGATTGCACTGAATTTTTTCACCAATCACAAGTAGTTGCTGCTCAACCTCTGGGCGCCCACTTTCAACATTTAAACATTAAATGTAGACATTTTTGTGTTTCATAAAGCATATTAGCTCAGGTTGAACTTTTCATTTCATGACACTCCAGATGTTTTCAGTTGGTGAAAAGTCTGGACTGCAGACAGCCCATTTAAATCGTTGGAGTCTACTCTTATGCCATCACTGACGCAGGCTTTCAAACTGAGCGTCGATGGTTCCTCTCTTCTTTAGTCTGAAAGATGTGGCGTCCATGTTTATCACAAAGACCTTCAAATTATGAATCATCTGATCAAAGAACAGTTTTCCACTTTGCCTCATTCCATTTTGAACAAGCTTCAGCTAAGAGAAGATGCTGTTATTTCTGGATTATGCTCATATGGGATTCCTGAGTCAATGCAGTGATTTCCACTGCTTTCATTGTAGTGCAGACTGACGGCTCAAAGATCACTGGCATCCAAAACAGATTTTTAGCCTTGTCTCTTGCACACAAAGATTTGTCCAGATTCTCTGAATTATTTGATTACATTATGATCTGTAGATGATGAGATATTCAAAGTCTTTGCATTGGGTTTTGTAAATGTCAGAAAAGGCAATGGAGTAAGGAACCTGACAAACTGACAACATCTAAGGAAAGCACACAGATAAATATATACAGAGATGTCACAATCATACAATAATGAAACTGAAAGAACAAAGTCAGAAAGTAAAAACCACAGCAAGCCAAACAAAGAAAATAAATACATGTCAAAATAAAGCAGCAAGAGGCCAGTTCTAGATCAGAAAATGAAGTCAATGAAAAGTGCAATTCCTTATGCGGCCACTTGAGGCTGCCTCTAAAATTAGTCAGTCCTCACAAACGCCCATGTTAAAATGCTCAACAAAGAAACTGTTTTGGTTCTATAGCAATTAAGAAGTTAAGTAGCTTTTCTTTCCAAGCTCCTTAGAATACCATGACCCTGATGACTGAGAACTTACACGCTTATAGCAAATTAATACATTTTTTAACAGCTAACTATAAGCTGGCTATAAACAGGCTAAATGTTCATTGAATCAACATTTGTGAACTATGTTAAGCCTCAAAGTTGAGCTTTACTAGGAGGGTGGTCACACCTAATTTAAGTCAATGAATTAAACCTCTCATACATCTTTATGACTTTTCTCCCTTTTGAAGCATTTTAAACTCAGTTAAGTGCCAAACAGTAGCTTACTAACCTAGCATTAGCATTAGCCAATGACATCCCGGCTAGCTTCAGAAATCCAATTCAATTCAACTATATTAATATTGAAGTGTCAAATCATAACAACAGTTATCTCAAGGTGCTTTATATTGTAAGGTAAAGACCCAACATGGGGTTGAACAAAATGCTAAAATCCAAATTTGAAAACCAGTGGAGAAAGTCATGGTGGCTGTATCTATTTAAAAGCTAGGTTTTGTTTTCCTGACATTCACAAAGGGATGACATGGAAGCCACAGGCAGAAGGTTAGAGTACAATAGAAACCGAGAGAAACTGCAAAGATCACAACAGCCTCTCTAACTGCAGCCACAGTAGCTTCAGTCACAATAGAGAAGTCCATTACCTTTTGATTTTCTGGTGACAACAGTCTTATTTAACCGTCTAAAAGTTTATCAGACACACAGCAGCTTAAACGCAACAGGATTTTGCAGCCTGATTCTCACAACAGCAGCAATTTGTTCTTTCAGTAGATGACCAAGTGGGAAAAATAAACTTAGGCCACGTTTATTTTTTAATGCAATGCATTTTAGTCAGTTAGCCTTTCAGCCCAAGTGCAAATTGTTGCCGCAGTTTGATGATATTAGCACAACATGCATTTTTTTAATTTCTAAGGCAATAGAGTCTTGTGATTTCTGATGTCCATTTCTATTCCTCATGAATGCAAACCACATGTGAGAAAGCGTGTGAGCTAAAGGGTAATATATTCAGCCGCACATTCGCCATAAAGCGAATCAAAACACATCGCCCGGCGTGCCAGACAAAAACATAAACTCTGAGGCCCCATTACCAATAGTACACAGGGAAAAAAACAGGAAAAAAATCAGGCCTGGTAGATGAGTCTTGGCTTGAGAATGCATCAAACTGAGACAAGGAGCAAGTTTTAATTTGATTCCCCTGTAATGAGTCTCTGAAGTACCAGCCCGGCAATGAATTCAGGGAGAATGAGATTACTTCAGAGAGGCTGAGGGACTGCACGCGGTGGAAACAGAGTCAGCAAGAGACAGAGTTATGTGCGGTAAAGGTAAAAAAAGGAGGGATTCTGTAGCCCGCTGCTCTCCTCGTACCCTCCCGGCTCTGCTAAACTGTGATGGTTGCTACATCAGACGTTTCAATGAAAGCCATTACCTCTGGCTATGTCAGGCTTCCGGCCATGGATCTTTGCCGTAATGGATGGCCCAGAGGCGTTTGTGTTGGGGGGAGAAAAAAGCAAAAAACAAAAAAGAAAGGGTGGCGGGAGGGGAAAAAAAGGCGCGCCTTGAACTTAATGCCAAACAGCAATTGTCTCGTTTAATTGCGCCACCTGAGTGAATGCTGGGAGAGAGAAACAGATTTTCAATTTGCTCTTCACTAGAAGGGGATCAGGTTCAATAAGACACAGCACTCTGCCTCTGGAGCTCTCAGGAGACCCCCCTCACCCCACCCCCGATACTTCCCAGCACGCCGCGGTCTATTAGATCTCTTCACCGCCACCTCTTGGCATTCAATCGCATCTGCATCTAACAAGGCGCGTACGTAAAATAGGGGGTAAGGCATTAAACGGGCTGGAAATGAAGAAAAACAGTCAGAAGGTGGTTAACCGAGATCTCATCACTATGGTAACTGCTGCACTGACAGGGCGATATAGCTGCACTTTTCATCAATAAAGCGCTTAAGCCAGTGTCTCCAATGCACAGATAAATATTTATATATCTATTTTATGTTTCCCCCGGCGTAGCTGCACACGCTGCCAAGAACTTGTATGTGTTTCTCGGCGGCCACTCGAAGCACTAATTGAACGCCTGGCTCCCTCTTCTGCCAGATGCAAAATTGTAAGCTTTACGCAACAATAGGAGGGACCGTCGGCTATTTGTCAGCGGCGCAATTTAGTTAAAGACCACTCGCTTGTCACATTGTGTGGGTGTCAGTGGAATCAATAATAGGCTTCATGATGACAACAGCCGAGCGGGCTTGACAAAGAGGTGGGAGCTCATCAACACTCTGCCATAAATACCAATGTCAGCGTTGTCAGCGTGCCGCAGAATTATGAGTCTCCGTCTGCGTTCGGCGCGGTTTGGCGTTGCTGAATATCAGGGGTTTTTCCACAGGGGGCTGTAATGCATCCTGTTTGAAGTAGTGTGTCTAACAGAGGTCAGCATTAAGTAGCTCATCTGTGATGACAAAGTCAAGTAGAAATGAGAGAGCTTTGTAATAAATACTCTATGTATGAGGAGTTTGTGTTAAGAAATGGCAGTTTGTAATGCTTAAACAGTTACTATTGTTTCCTTCTTCTCAAAGAGGGAAATTGCGAGAAACTAAGAACAAACAGAACAGTCGGTAAGAGGATTTCCCCTTTGGCCTTCAAGGTGTCAATACTGATCCTCTGATTCAAAAGGAGCCCGTTAGGATGTTCGGGCATCTGTTTAGGATGCTTTGTGGGTCAGAAGGTGAGTTGGCTGCACCCCTCTCCCCTTCTCCACTCTGACGGAAGGCACTAAATATGAGGAAAGGGGGTGAAATGAGGATTTAAGGATGCACAAACCCATAAAATGGCTGGCTGGGTTAGAGGTGGAGGCCGTGGCAGGGGAGGAGGAGATCTGGCCAGCTTCTGCTAAGACTGTAGCTCCTGTGAGCTGAAGTGGAAGAATGGATGGATTCATTTATTATTGCAATGTTAGATCTCCAACTATGAGACTTTTTTCATTACGTTTTTCTTTTCAAATAGAAAAATTTCCTGTGATTTTCAAATGACCCATAGTTCCCATTGTGGCAGTAAAGTTACGTACAGCTGTTGGTTGTAATTTGTTGATTTGACTTAAAACTTCAGATTTTTCTTTATTCAATAAACAGAAAAAAAAATACATCTGACAGAGAGAGAGAGTTAATGCCAGCAGATGGCCAACAGTTAATTATCAAA